CAATCGACATAAAGTCGTGGTGGGTGGTCGTGTGATGTTTACGAGATGATGATGAAGGACGAGAGGTAAAAACACAAAAATCTTTTCGGTGGCTCCAACAGCTACCTGCAGGTCTTCGCCTGGAGGATGGGTCTGGATTACCTGATAAGACAGCAGTAGACCGGACTGCATGTTGAGCACACAATGAACTCAACAATTTATTTTTGTTTGTGTGTGCTTATACCTATATATATAAAAATGAATTGCTGTTCGTTAGTCTCGCTAAAACTCGAGAACGGCTAGACCGATTTGGCTAATTTTGGTCTTGAATTATTTGTGGAAGTCCAGAGAAGGTTTAAAAGGTAAATAAATATGAAAATTCTCGGAATAAAAATAACAATTTTGTTTTTCCTTTGATTAGTCTAGTCAACAAGTTCAAAAACGTGAAAAATAGAGATAAAGGTCCTAAAAATATGAGCGATGGCTCATTCGATTCGGAATCACCTCTAGAAAAATATTTTTGAAGGATTTTGGTGCAGGTTAAAAATTGCAATTGTTATTAACAAAATAAGATGAAAAAAAAATGATATTTCGTTTTTTGTTAATAACTTGAAAAATATTAACATTGAAGCAATTTTGAAAAAAGCTCGTTAAAGAGGAGGAAATTTCCAATAAAAAAGTCCTAACTCCCGGAACTCTATCTCCATTATTTATAATTTTAATTAGACGTTGAATATAGGGCTCCGCGCGGCTGTTACAGCATGCGCGCGCCGCCGCTAAAGAGAGTTCAGCAATATAAATATAATCAGCAATAATCAAATTTGAACTTGTTGACTAGACTAGATGTGAACCTCGTCGGACGAATTCATTTTGTTTGTTTTAAGTTTATTTTATACAAACGTTTAGGTCTTTTATTTATCGATTGAGGCACTACGAAGTCTGCCGGGTCAGCTAGTTTGAAATAATAATCATTTCTTGTTCATGGTCGTACACAGCATTTAAAAAATACGCAATCAATCTAAATCATTATACAATTACAATTTCACAGACACTAAAATCTGTCAAATGGGACTTCGTAATTGGAATAGATTAAAGTGGGCTGGTTTCTGAAATAAAAGGTTTGAATAAATTTAGAAAAAAAAACAATACGTATTTTAGATTAAAGTGCAATGGGCAGTGATTGCAAAAAATGTATGTACCTAATGTACCTAATACGTGTAATGTTTGTTGGTCAATATTGGTCATTGGTTCCAATATATTGGCGCAAACTGTCATTTGCATCATTTCACGTTGTTTACATAAAGTGTTATTAATTTATTTGTTCGTCGAATGCATTGTGCTATGAAGGCCGTGTTATAAAATTGTCGTAATGAAATTCCTTTGTTTTTTACGAAACAGAAAACACAATTACGGCAAATATGTTTACAAATACATTTAGATGTAACTACATACGTCAAAAGCATATTTATATCGAGTTATGAAAGGTTTTTCGATTAATACGCAACATTTATCTTTGTAGTTAAAAGTTCGTTTTTGACTGGTAGTAGGACGTCTTGTGAGTCCGCACGGGTAGCTACTACCGCCCAGCCTATTTCTGCCGTGAAGCAGTAATGCGTTTCGGTTTGAAGGGTGAGGCAGCCGTTGTAACTATACTGAGACCTTAGAACTTATATCTCAGGGTGGCGCAGTTACGTTGTAGATGTCTATAGGCTCTGGTATCCACTTAACACCAGGTGGGCTGTGAACTCAGCGGTCCATATAAGCGATAAAAAAAAGAGTATTCAGTAGTCCCTCGATCTTTCTCTATGTAATGTTCAGAAGACTGCTAATTTTTTAATATTTTAAACTGAAATAAGGTATATTTTAATAATAATAATAATAATAATTACCTAACTATATAATATATATGTATATATTTAAAAGTTTTTTTTTATTGCTTAGATGGCTGGACGAGTTCACAGGCCACCTGGTGTTAAGTGATTACTGGAGCCCATAGACATCCACATCGTAAATGCGCCACCCACCTTGGGATATAAGTTCTAAGGTCTCAAGTATAGTTACAACGGCTGCCTCACCCTCCAAACCGAAACACATTACTGCTTCACGGCAGAAATAGGCAGGGTGGTGGTACCTGCCCGCGTGGACTCACAAGAGGTCCTACCATTAGTTATATAGGATTGTCAGTCTCTGGTACCTATACCACATGGAATCCTAAATTGGGGCTGGACGACCGTGCGTGATTAGCTCGCAATTATTTAATTTATTAAAACTAATCCTATTTGTAAAAGGTGATCAAAATCTAACAAAATTATCCGCATACATTCGTTTCGTATCATTTGCGGTTACATGATCGGACACAGTGTAAATTGTTCGCAGATACTCAAGTTTAAAACTTCAAGGTTTTTAAAGAGCTTTTTTTTCACTTATTATAGATTTTCGAAGCACTACCTAATGAACTTCATTGACACTGCACACATTAGGTACTTATTGGATGCGCTTGGCAAAGACGTCAATGGACATCTCAGGCAATGGATTTTAGATAAAGATATGAGGTTCTTATTATCTTTGCTTTTGTTTATTGATAAAATAGGTAAACGAGTTCACGGTCCTCTAGGTCTTAAATAGCCACCGGAGCATATAAACATCAATCACCTCAATGCCACCGCCCATCTTGAGACATGATTTCTAAGTTTCAGTTTTTAGTACAACGGCTTCCCTACCCTTTTAAATACGACACCTATTACTGCTTCACAACGTAAATAGGTAAGGTGGTGGTACATGCCTGGCCCAGCCCTGACACGAAACTTATCTGATAAAGGGGAAACGACAAAAAATTTACTCAACAGATATCATTTAATTAATGATCGAAATTAGCTTTACAAATAATAAACTAATAGGCCTCTGAAACGATAGAAAAATAATGATAATAAATCATCACCAAACTACGCTACATATTTACAGAGAAAAAAGTATTATCTTATTAATTACCATTTTTTTCCCTACACTACCTTTGGTTAATTGGTAGGGAATGCCTTAGGCATTAAGTCCGCCAGTGTAAATAATAATTTATTCATTTTTGTTATCGCCCGTGTAGGCAGACGAGCCATACGGCTGACTGGATGGTGAGTCAAAGCCAAGCCGCTGATTACCGTAATGATTAATAAATAAATTTTGCAAATCTATTCTAATATATAAATCTACAGTGGTTTTTTGGGGATGTTCCGATATAACTACTGAACCATGCATCCGATTGACTTGAAACTTGGCGTCCGTGTAGAAAATACATGTACTTAGTGGATAGGCTAATATTTATATGAGTGTTAAACTCCCTAATAATAATGACAATAAATAATAATGTTAAGTTTAAATGCCCAGCGAAGCGGGCGAGTACAGCTAGTAATATAATAAAAACATAAGAAAAACTAAGTCCGTGAACGTTGAAATACGAATGACCCTTTGAACATTAGCTACACTGTGTCAAATCCCGTTTGCTTAACACATACGTAACACCTGCGCATGCGTAGAAAGTCGAGTACAAGCACATCTTACCACAAATATGCCGGCCTTCTACATCATTATTATTGTATGTGAGTCGACTATTATCAAAGCCGGCAATATGACTTTTGGACAATTATTGGTAAATCAGAAAAACGAATTATTGACTTTGTATTCCATTGGCAGTCACAAAACTCTTCAGAACGACATCTTAGATAAATAACAGGTTAAGTATTAACCTTTATTTAATGCAGGTTTTGAACCGTATTCTTTGAAGGAGACGATTATATTCAAATCAATCTGTATTGACATATTAATAAAATTTTTTTGTCCAAATGCACAGATTGCCACCTTTGATAATAGACGACTCATGTACTTGACGGATAATAATTTATTTTTCATAAAACTTGTTCCTCAATCAGTAACGGACCACAAACAAAAAAAAAAACTTCATTGTAGTTTTAAAAAAAAGCGTTAATTAAGTAAAAGATCGACTTTGAAAAAAAATATCGTTTTATTCCTTGTTATCTTGCACAGTTTATAACAATAACGTACTAAAATTATTGTACTGTAATNAAAAACTTCATTGTAGTTTTAAAAAAAAGCGTTAATTAAGTAAAAGATCGACTTTGAAAAAAAATATCGTTTTATTCCTTGTTATCTTGCACAGTTTATAACAATAACGTACTAAAATTATTGTACTGTAATCAACTCTCGATACGTGTACAAATTTTTAAATCAGTTTGACATCTTAAAATTGTTGTAATTTACGTTAAAATATATACTACGTTAAAATATATAAATTACATAGAGAGATTGATACAAGTTTATAAAAGCGTAGGAAAAAAATAGTACAAATTGAGAATAAACTCTTGAAGTGAGTAATTATAAAACAAGAGAGCTTCTTTAATTTATAATACTGACATTTTAGTTACATATTTAAATTTTATTTTACTAAAAGTATTTAATGATTCCACAGTCGATCTACCGATTAGAGCGCAAACCGCCAATTATGTGGCTGGTTATTATTTGTGTGTATAAATATATATCAGCGCAGCGGGGATGGCTAAGCGGTAGTTTCCGTCATCACTCGTATTTGGTTGAACTCAGTTTATAAAAAGTCAAAACAACGTCTTAATATTACTAAAAGTCGTTAACCACGACATATATATATATATATATAGGTTATCGCTTATTTCGACTCCCAAAAGACTTCGTTTAAACTGGAATTGAATAGAATCAGTGTTTTGGATAATATAGGAATGGTTCCCTATTGTCCTTTTTACATTTTGATTTTTAACTATTTGTACAATAACTCCGTGTCAGTTAGCCGTTGTGTTCTTTAAGCTCATGTCTCATTTAGATAATTACCTAAGCATACAGTTCTGTAGATAATTCGTGTGTCAATACGACTTTTGAGAAACTATGTGTAGAGATCTAGTGCCTTTTAATTTATAAAATTAAAACCGATGACAACTGACAGCTTCAGTCAGTAATGTCAAATGACATTATTGACCAATGACAATTCAAATCAAATTAAATTTATTTATTAGATTAAAATATTTTTCATTGGGACGTTGATTTATATAACGGTATTATGGAAAATTGATCTGGAAAATAACAAAAACAGCTATGGAAATCCCGTGCAACATCGAAAAACCTGTTAAAGTAGCCCCGAATATTGCCGTAAATGCCGTTCTGCAACCGAGCCAAGATTTACCTGCAGAAACACCGATAGTCACGGGCTACGACTGGGAAAATGGAACTGATTACAATAAAATACTCGAATCTTACGCTAACTCCGGATTTCAGGCCACGAATTTCGGTAAAACTGTCGCCGAAATCAATAATATGCTCAAAAGCCGAGCCGTCCCATTAACTGAAGAAAACAGCGATTGTTATGAAGAAGACCAGTTTATTAAGAAGAAAACTAACTGTACTATATTCCTCGGGTATACTTCTAACATGATATCCTCGGGATTGAGAGACACGATACGTTTTTTAGTTAAAAATAAGCTTGTGGATGTGATTGTGACTACAGCTGGAGGGATTGAGGAAGACTTGATAAAATGCATTGCTCCGACCTATGTAGGTGATTTTAATTTAAGCGGGAAAGTGTTAAGAACACGAGGTATAAACAGGATAGGCAATTTGTTGGTGCCGAATGATAATTATTGTTTGTTTGAGGAGTGGGTCACTCCATTGTTGGACGAGATGATCTCTGAACAGATGAAAGAGGGTACTGTTTGGAGTCCGTCGCGCATCACAGCTCGGTTAGGGGAGAGAATTAACAACGAGAGCTCAGTGTGCTATTGGGCTTGGAGGAACAACATACCTATATTTAGTCCCGCATTGACTGATGGATCCTTAGGTGACATGATGTACTTCCACTCGTTTAAGCGTCCTGGACTGATCATAGACATATTGGGAGACCTACGCAGATTGAACACCATGGCCGTCAAAGCCAACAACACTGGAGTCATAATATTAGGTGGGGGTTTGATCAAACATCATATTTGTAACGCTAATCTGATGCGTAATGGTGCTGATTATGCTGTGTATGTGAACACGGCCAGTGAATTTGACGGCAGTGATGCAGGTGCCAGGCCCGACGAAGCAGTGTCGTGGGGCAAAATCAGACCTAATGCGAATCCAGTGAAGCTATATGCAGATGCTACGTTAGTGTTCCCCTTGATCGTAGCTCAAACATTTGCTAAACATCATTTTAGCAGTAAGAAAAATGTTTAAACTGCTTTTTTTTTTTATTTTGTACATTAAAAACTAAATGATACCAAGATAAGTTTTTTTTTATTTATTTTTAAAATTTATTTTTTATGGACGAGCTCACAGCCCACCTGGTGTTAAGTGGTTACTGGAGCCCATAGACATCTACAACGTAAATGCGCCACCCACCTTGAGATATAAGTTCTAAGATCTCAGTATAGTTACAACGGCTGCCCCACCCTTCAAACCGAAACGCATTACTGCTCACGGCAGAAATGGCAGGGTGGTGGTACCTAACCGCGCGGACTCACAAGAAGTCCAACCACCAGTATATTCCGACTTTATATAAGTAAACTCAATTTTGTATGTACTAAAATAATGAATGCTGGCAAAGTTTATCCTAAAATGTTACAAGTCCTTCAAAATAAAACTTGGACACCTCATAAAATTATAAATACATTTATTGCAATATAGTGCCATCTAGTATCGGTCGTTAATACAAGATAATTCTGTAAAGCGCCATCTATTATTAGACTTTGATAATATAATTGTGGTTTTGATTTTTGAATGATTTAATTTAGATTTTCAACATTTATTATGTTTTTTAATATTGAGTAATATACGAAACGTGTGTAATTACTTATGTAATTAAGTTAGATGTATTGTTTGTTTAACCCATATTTCAGGACGAGTTAGGTGTGAATGAACTGTCAAATACCCAATGAAGTTAGCCCATGTCTGGTTTCCATAAAATTAAACATGTGTGCGTCTGTGAATTAAAGTCTCATCGTTGTGTGTTGTACGTAGAAAGCACAGCTTTTGAACCCCAACTTTTAGCTCATCTTTGGACGCGATACAGTGCGGTTGGTTGCGTCAAATCGTCCGTGTGCTTCCATAAATTCTTGTTATGATTCTTCCATTCGTCTTCTAATAATAATTAAAAAATGAACAAAAGTCAAACATAACATTCTTAATTCAAATATTTAAATTATTTTGTGCCAGTTCGCTAAAATGGCTGTGATACGTTTCGTTTTATTCACGCTCATTTTAATCGGTAAGTCCTTTCGTCCTTTGTAGACTATTTATAGGTTCAGCCTGGCAGCCACAGATATTTAATGGGAATTTGTTAGGATACGTATAATTTGTTGCACGTTTTAACTGGAAACCGCTTTGATGTGACAGCGTGTGTGATGTTTTGTTTTTAATGTTATTGTTAGGGCCGGATGTTTGTTCTTACAGCCTATGTAGTCCTATTCACCGTCGAACATGTTTTATTATGATTTATTGTATGGCGATCGTGAATGTGATTAATTATAGTGAATACGATAATGATTCACAGAGATGTTTTTCTCTAAATATTTTACTAATGTCGTAAACCTTTAATTCTTATATTTAGGAATAAACGTATACATGCCGAAACTATGAATTAAATAAATAAAAAAAGAAATATTTAAAAATATATTCAGGTTGTATTAATTTTACAATTTATCTTATTATGCCATAATTGAAAAGTATGTTTAAAACAAAAAGCAGCAGAAAGAAATGAGTCCCTATTATTGGCAAACTTTTTAGGTTCAATGGAATAAAATATAAATTCATGTTCTATAATTAATCATTTTAATGGATACATGGCATACTTACTAGAATTCGTTTTTCTGTTTTTCTAAGAATGATGATTTTGGTTGAATGTTCAAATGAGTACATTGAAAGAAATGGATAAAAATAAAAATACTAACTCAGCCAAATAATTATTGTAATGTCAGTTAATTCATTTGTAAGTAAACATTTTCTTGAGTATCTTGCTCCAATGTTTTAAACTATACTATACTTTTACTTACTAAATATATTATATTTATACTACTCTATACTATAGTTATACCCTATACTATACTTAGCTATACTATAACCGTCCAATAAAATAGTCTGAAGAGGGGCCTGTTTGATGCTTTGTGACATATAATGCTCTAAATAGGGCAGTACATGAGTAACATGAATATTCCTATGTACATCTATAAAAACGCACTATCCACAGCAGTTACAGTATGTATAGGCCATATTCTTCCTACAAAGATTATAAGAAGAAGCTGAGACACATGCTCATCATGGAAGCTCATCATGGAGGGGATGGCAAAGTTATTAAATTTTTAACTTTGTTCTATAAATAATGTAGGTACTAAAATTGTTAAAATGACATCATGTGCTTTGTCCCTTTGTATAAAATATACTTGGGAGTGTTAGTGGACATTGCAGAGTCTAAATAGATCCCCAACCCTTCAGACAATAACAACTATATCAATTTTAATTCACATTATGTTAGCAGTTTGAGACTCTAAATCATAACCACACTAACATACTCAGATCAAATGAATTCCACGAGTCACATTCATGTGCAACATGAAACTTCTATGACCTAACTTGTAACATGTAAGTTGACTCGCAGTGATGCTATTGTGACGGTTTAAGGATAACAAGAACTGAATAAATTGATTATCTGTGTGACCCAAGGAAGAAACACGTAAAGGAATAACATTATTTCCTATCTTCGACCTGAAGCAAGAAAGATTTTGATTCCGTTTTCGCATCTCGACGGAGACGGCATTATCGCGTGACTTGAGACCAAACGTGCCGTGAGCACGTCCGCATATATAGAAGACGAACGGCCATTCCCCGTAGCTCATTCTTAAAGGATAACTCTCCTATTTTGGAACTTTTTTTTAACTTACTTCAAAGGCACACGAAGCTTGCGGTCATGCGTGAATTTCGCGATATAAAATACATGAAGTCAGTGTCGGAACGGTACATCGATAAGGGGTCATGATAATCGTCTTATCGTTGCCGCCGCTGACTACTCCCGCTGATCACGCAGGAGCCAGTCACCGTCGACGCCCTAGACACGTCCTTACGGATACATCAGATCCAATAACCTTTGCATTAGACGCCTTCAGCTCTAATACTAGGAGCAGGCTTAGGGACCCCGGTAACCGTACTCGTCGAACTCTACAAAGAGGTCGACGTGCAACCTAACCCATGCATCAGCCCGCTGAGTTTCTCGCCGGATCTTAGCGGGTCGCGATTCCGATTCGGTAGTAGATTCATTCGCGAAACAGTTGCTCTCGAGTTGTTAGGTCTCCTTCGGAGGCGCTCGGGCGGCTGCTAGCAAATCCCACCCCTCCTGGCTGAGCCTTTGCTCGCCCACCTGTCCTGGTGAAACTGGAAAGCCCCCAGGCCACCAGTAATCCTTTAATCAGAAAAAAAATCAAATTTATGAAGTATCTTCAATTCAAAACTGAAGTGTATGATCCCAACTAGGAGACGAGATTTAGAAGGCATCACATACTTTTATAGCGCAGGCGCAGGATAACTGATATTGTTTTTTAGGGCAAAATTGCTCAGGTGGCGAGTCCACTTTTTTTTTCCTACCTATGCTGATAGCCTTGGGAGGCTATTTCAGCTTCGCCCTAACGTGTGTAGGTGAGCTCAAACCGGGGTGCTACTAACACTGACCCTAGTAAGAGCAGTGCTTCGCAGAATCTACCACCGGATCGGAAACGCGAACCACTGAGAAGATTCGGCGAGAAACTCAGTGGGCTAAAGGCGAGTCCACGTTAAACGTACCAACGATAGAAGATAAGCCGAGCTTATCGTTTATCGTTGGTACATTTAAGGATGCCTCTCAGATCAATAATGCGTGAGACCCGTCAACCATCTCGTCTAGGAATACCTCGTGGTGATACAAATTATAACACGTAATGTATAATTTAAAAGAGCTGCTAACAGTCTCAATGCTCATTTCATTTTGTGGTCATGGATGACTGAAGTGTTAATCGATGACGTTTGAACATTGCAATTATAACCATTTGAGTTCTAATGCAGCACCCCTAATATTATAATTCTTTTTATTTTTTTATTGTTTAGATGAGTGGACGAGCTCATCACCTGGACCTGGATGAGCCCACCTGGTGTTAAGTGGTTACTGGAGCCCATAGACATCTACGACGTAAATGCGCCACCCACCTTGAGATATCAGTTCTAAGATCTCTGTGTAGTTACAACGGCTACCCCGCCCTGCAAACCGAAACGCATTACTGCTTCACGGCAGAAATAGGCAGGGTGGTGGTACCTACCCGCGCGGACTCACAAGAGGTCCTACCACCAGTGATTACGCAAATTATAATTTTGCGGGTTTGGTTTTTATTACACGATGTTATTCCTTCACCGTGGAAGTCAATCGTGAACATTTCTTGAGTACGTAATTCATTAAAAAAATTGGTACCCGCCTGCGAGATTCGAACACCGGTGCATCGCTACATACGAATGCACCGGACGTCTTTTCCTTTAGGCCACGGCGGCCTAAAGGATAAGTTTGAAGGGTGGGGCAGCCTTTGTAACTATACTTGAGACCTTAGAACTTGTATCTCAAGGTAGGTGGCGCATTTACGTTGTAGATGTCTATGGGCTCTAGTAACCACTTAACACCAGGTGGGCTGTGAGGTCGTCCACCCAACTAAGCAATAAAAAATATTTCTTAATAGGTATGTATATGAGTCGACTATTATCAAAGCCGGCAATGTGACTTTTGGACAATTATTGGTAAATCAGAAAAACGAATTATTGGCAGTCACAAAACTCTTCTGAACGACATCTTAGATAAATAACAGGTTAAGTATTAACCTTTATTTAATGCAGGTTTTGAGCCGTATTCTTTGAAGGAGACGATTATATTCAAATCAATCTGTATTGACATATCAATAACATTTTTTTGTCCAAATGCACAGATTGCCACCTTTGATAATAGACGACTCATATTATATATGTAAAGTATAAGGTAATGTAATAATTATCTTCGCAATTCGCAAGACATAGTACGAATTAAACCGACTTTACGATTTTCGATTGCGACCGCGTAAACTTTAAATTATTCGAAAACGTAAACGTAACGTAATAGAATGAAGCGATTTCAATTCGCCAATAGGTATGTTGTTAACGTGATTCACCATCGTGCTGTATATTTTAGGTGTCCGTTAACATTTCTTGAAATTTAATTGTGCTATTTGAATTCTCGTGAT